CATATCAATATTACTAATTAGTTTAAGTAGACTAGGTGCAATTTAAATAAAATACACAAAAAAAAAAAAATTATTTATATCTATAAACTTATATTATTATATTATATATCTCTATATTTTAAATTTTACTTAAGAAATCTTATATGTAAGCCTTTTCTGATATATTTTATGAATTTCATTAAATTAATATATGTCCTAAATAGTTATAATGCTAAAGCGTCCAAGTTTTGTTAAGCATATCTTTATTTTCATTTCACTCGACAGTTGATTCATAAAAGTACATATCTTTTGGTTGTTGTTTGCTAAAAATAAATTTTGGAACTAAAGAAATAATTATGGCTTAACAATTATATTATAGAAAAAATTGATAACTCTTGTGAGTATTTTTGTAAGAAAAATGTCGCCAGTAAAAAAATAGGAATGTTATATTAAATTGTTGACGTTTTCTTTTGTGTTTGTCAAAAATAATACAAAATAATGTCAAAGGGCTTTCTTAAAATTGTCATATAACTAAAAAAGGTGCATGTATGTTCAGTGTATTCATTAGCATTCAACACATTTGTTCGAAATGTCTGTCTATGAAATGGGAATGTGGTTTTGTATGTCGAAAGCGAATATTTGTTTCTCAATTGCTTATTTTTGCTTTAATAAGACATTTACGGTCTGCGTAGACGATTGTACAAAATCGAAAATGTAAAATGAAACCATATATTAGAATAAAAATGAATTCTTTGCAGTTAAAGTTTATAATATAATTATAAAATATAATGTATTTTTAAGTAAATATTGATTAAGTAAATACTACACTGTCTTGGTGTGTTTTGAAAAAAATAAATAAATAATGAGATTTAAAAAAAAAAAATATTACCAACATAATTCCCAATTTAAAAAATTTTTTTAAAATTATTTATGGTAGTTATTAAGCCAGGTTTTATTTATAGCTAACAATATATTCAAACAGAACCAATTTTCCCAACCATTTGTTTGACTTAAGGAATTCGGAATTTATAACATTACTAAACAGAACTAATTATTTATAAAAAATGTTTTTAATATACATATACTGTCCTTAGCTATGGTTTATTCACACAACACAAGTTAATAAAATATTCGTATATAAAAATATTGGGTGTTTCGCAATAATATTTTATTATGATATATTTTAGTTTATGAAAATCATTTACAATAGCGCAAATTGTTGAAGCTTAAATTGTGAAATTTAAACTTATGAATATAATTTCTTATCAAATTCAATTTTCGGCATATCAAATTTTTTTATTAACTATTGCTAGGAAAAAAATTTGACATTTTATATGTATATATTATAATCAATTCAAAACGGTTGACATGAACACTTCTTAAAAAAAATTACAGTATTTCCATTTATTGCAATAATTCAATGCCAACTTAAACGTACCTATGATATGAAATTTATAAATTTAATAAATACTATTTTATAAATATTATACTATCAAAAATATTTAATTGTACAATAAAATATTAAAAGTCGATATTAAATTTGTAGTGAATTAAAATATTCCTACCGTAAACACCATATACATTGTTTTTCAAAATCTGGCAACCTCAAGCTCATCAGCTGTTTAAGTATGAGCGCATTTTTTCGTTTATAAATGTGTACACCGGTCTTTTCCCGCGCAGACAGACAATATTGACTGATCATACATTTTATTAATATATATAAATTATATATAGAATATTTAAGTTTTTGATCTCGGTGTGTGCGGTCGATAAAAAGTAAAATAAATTAGCACGAAGAAATTTTAAAGACGTAAGACATAGCTAGTAATTCTAACCTAACATTCAGTGAGACTACAATTTCTGATCTCCAGCAAACAAAAAAAATATTATAATCATGCCGACAAAACGGAAAGTTCCTACAAATGATGTAGTGATTACGGCTACAGTAAAAAAAGTACGACCAAATTTTGAATTGTCTATGCCTAATCGTCCAAGCATTGGTGGATACGCCCTAGTATGTGGTGCTGGCGAAATGGGTCAATTGGGACTTGGCGTAGATGTCTGTGAACGGAAACGACCTGCTATGTTGGAAAAAGTACCAAATGTTGTCGATATTTGTGCTGGTGGCATGCACAATTTAATATTAACTGCTGACGGTGCTGTATATTCATTCGGTTGTAATGATGAAGGCGCTCTTGGTCGTCCGACTGCAGACGAAGATGATGCTTTTGAGCCTGATCTAGTTAAACTACCCACTAAAGCACTTATGATTTCGGCAGGTGATTCCCATTCTGCGTGTTTATTGGACGATGGACGAGTTTTTGCTTGGGGAAGCTTTCGTGATTCTCACGGAAGTATGGGCTTAACAGTTGATGGAATTCAAAAATTACCCGTCGATGTAATGGGATTAACAAATTGTACTGAAATAGCTTCGGGGTCTGATCATTTAGTTGTTTTAACTAGTAGAGGTAAAGTTTACACTTTTGGATGCGCTGAACAAGGACAACTTGGACGCGTACCAAATCGTTCAGTTTCTGGTGAAGGTACGAAATCTTAAATATGTATATATAATTACACATTCTAAAGTTTTATTTTACAGGACGCCAAGGCAAAAAAATTCTATTAACACCTGGAGAAATTATTATGAAGCGTGGAAAACCTGTGGAAAAAATCTGGGCTTCCAGCTATTGCACATACTTACGCGAATCTAATACTAACAGTATTTGGGTATTTGGATTAAATAATTATGTTCAACTTATTTATAATAACGTGGAAGAAAGAGTGTTATACCCAGTCAGAACAAATTTAGAAAATGCCAAAGATATAGCTGGCGGCCAACATCATACATTAGTACTTAAAAACGATGGTAAATGTTATGCTGTTGGAAGAGGTGATTATGGACGTCTTGGAATTGGTAAAAATGTTTCAGATCAACGAGAACTTCAAGCTATTGATAAGCTTCAAAATGAAAAAATACAAAGTATTTCATGTGGCGAATGTTTTTCATTTGCAGTGACTGATGAGGGTAAATTGTATTCATGGGGAATGGGTACGAATTTATCATTAGGCACTGGCAACGAGGATGATGTTTGGGAACCAGAACTAATAATTAGTAAAAATACTGAAAATAAAAGAATTCTTAAAGCTTCTGGTGGTGGACAGCATAGCATTTTCTTGGTAACTGATAATAATAATAGCATCAAGGGAAAAACAACAGCCACAGCAACAACAGCAACTACAGAGAAGGAAAAAATTACAAATAAAATAGTAAATGGAAAAAATGATGATAAAAAAGAAGTAAATAATGTTGCAACGGAAATAGATGCTACTGCAAAGCGAGGACGTAAAAAGAAATAGATTGTAATTGATGTTAATGTAGTGATAAGGTGTTAATGAATGACCAGAGGAGAGAATCCAAATTTCACAATAAAAAAATTATTGTTTGCATATTTGTGACTGTCTCTTTTTAAAATTGTTACTTAAAATCTAATAAATAAATTTGTAGTATAAAATTCGCTAATTTCTACCGCGTAGATGGACTTCTCATACAATATACAATATTAACACATTTGGAAAGTTAACAGGGATAAATGGATGACACGGATTTATAGCATGCGGTACAACTTTAACTCGACTGGCCTATGGACTTACTACAATATTTTAGTCACAACTTTCAATATTTCAGTGAGATTTAATAGAATTTAATATATAAAATTATATTTAATTTTTTTGAAAAATAAATAAAGAATAAAAATTATCACGGTGACATTTGAATACTCTTAATTACAAACAAAAAAAAATACGAAGCCAAATGTTTGCTGAGAACGATAAAATTTCAATAATGATATGAGTTGTCCTGAGAAATGAGTGTTTGTGGGTAAAGATATGCACGCTCCTGGCTATACACAGAAGCTGCAAGAGCTGATACTTCACATATTTGTAAACTTTTGAGAATTGCCAGGACAACGCAGGTTTTTTTAAAGGTTTAACTTACATTAAAAACAACAATAAGTTAGGTGATCGATCTTTAATCAAACATAATAAAAAATATTTGATCAGTACAATATTTGAGAAATTCGAGTATATTCAATCCAAAAAATATTTAGATCGAACCGTTTTAAAGTTCGAAAATCTTTAAACAAATACTCACAGTAATCTGCTTTAAGCAGTGTTTACACTGCCTGGACTTCGGTAAGATTTTTACGTACACTATTACTTTTTCACTAACTCATACAAATTTAGAAAATAATACATATTTGCGTTGTCAAAGTTAGTTACTAGCCACGTATAGTGATGCTCGACCAGTTTTGCTGGTGTAGTCCCTTTTGGAAGTGTTAAACGGCATTTAGTCGTCGAACTCGACAAGTGGTTTCGGGACGTACATCCGACTGTTTTTGGAACTTTATCAAGAAGCTCGGTGTTCAAGCAGAGACATAGTCAAACATCACAGTGCTCGGTTCGAACATCAAACAAGTTAATCCATTAAATATTTGCAGCACCAGTATATAATGCTTTAATAATCTAGGGACTTTCTTCCGCATCACTTTGTTCGGGAAACTTATTTTTTTTTTTTAAGTAAGTGGAATGTATTAGAAGCCGCAATGTGCGACTTAAACTCACTAAAACTACCTCTTAGAAATGAATGGAGAAAATTTGCACAGTAATATGGTAACTTCATTCTAGTAATGATAGGATAGAGATGAGAGCAAGAGGTTTAATACCTAGCATGTCTAAGCTAGAAAGCATGACCATGAAGACGGTAGACTGGAAATTTGTGAAGGGGGTGGGATTATAGGCTAGCGGTAGACTCTATGATCAGATTCACAAGAACCGCGGTTGTAGAGAGGGATAATGGAGGGATGAGAGTTCCGCTTATCGAGGTAAAGAGAGAGATACAGAAGGCGTTTATGGCGCAAGGCTTGGTCGAAATCTGCGGGAAGAGTGCTGGGGCGGATATGTCAGAGGGTAGATTGTATAGTCGGGTAAGGTACCTTCGAGTGAGAGGACGTACACGTCGATGTGAGTGATTTTGAGTGAGTCATAAAGGACAGTGTTCGGGATACTCAATTACAATTGCGTTTGTAAAGCTTTACCAAGATGTGGAGGCGATGTCTTAACAATAAAAACAATGGACTTCAATTGAATGATAAGACATTATTTATTTTATTGTGTTATATGTGATAAATAATTAAATTTAATTGTTTTACTGGTAATTAATATTAACGTTCAATTTCGAAAATTTATTTTTATATGAAAAACACAATTAAACTGTAATTTAAATTTTTTCTGTAGGAGATAATACACAAATACTATTATATCAACATAAAAAATATATGGTACTCGCCACATAGAGTTCACAGTGTCCCCGATTTTGTATATAGGCAGCAATCTTAATTTTGTTCGTCTGTATTACTTGCCATACTATTTTTCAAAGCCTCTTCAATTTGAGTTTGTATTTTATCATTGAATTGTGATTGTTTCCAAAACATAAACGCAAAGGCCATGGAAAGAAATACTATTAAGGTTATCGTGAAGTATTGTAGTTTTTCTGTCTTGCGTTGTGGCTTATTCCTTTTACCATGGTGTTCACCTGAGTCCTGAGAACCCTAAGAAATAGGTTTTTATTTAATATTATACTTTATCAAATTACATGTATCATTATCAATTTAAATAATAAAAGTATGTATAATTTGAAACATTAAAAGTATAGAAATACGATACGTGTATGCTACACTCGGATAAATGTGCTCTCAACATAACCAACACACTTCAAGAGCATATATACCTCATCCTGGAGTATTTCCAGAAATGAAAAATAAAAATCAATAATGAAAAAACTAAAGCTCTGTTTATTACGCGTAAGTGGAGACAGAATCCGTCGAGAGTGAGAGTGGGAGATATGGTTATAAACTGGGTAGCGTTAAATATCTAGGCATCACGGTGGACAAAATCTCAATGCTCAGAACAGGAAGCTGTTATATAACCAAACAATTCGACCGTCATTGCTATCTGGATGTGTAGAGTTTAGCAAGGCCTCAAACATTACCATTCGCCAGCTAAAAATTGCACAAGGCCAGACTCTGAGACGACGTTTCAAGGTACATGGTACATAATGATGAATGACATCCACAGGGACCTCAAGTTTGATCCGATCAAAAAATACATAAAGGATAGAGCCGTGAAATTAGTTACGAAAACTGACAGGCTTACCAACATCGCGTTATCGAATCTCAGAATGGTTACAGGCTCCTCGCGTAGTTATGCAGATTTGAGGTCAATTATTGCTTAGTCTGAAGAAGTGATAAACAATAATCCAGTCAAGGCATAGAGAGCGATTATAAAGAAATTTCGCAGTTAATGGAAAGTAAAAGTGCTCAAGTGTACTGACTCAACTAGCCTCAACATAATATACAGTGGCTCACAGCTTATTTGATGCAAGCAAAAATTTTTTGAAAAATGTTGTTTATTTCAAAATATTTTGCAAAATTAAAAAAACAAAGTATGCAGAGTTATTGTTTATAGTGTGTTTATTCATTTTTAAAAAAAAAAACCCCAAAAATCTTCTTCCATTCCTTAGTAATGCATCAAAAACCAAAAGCAAATGAAAAATTCATGTCACAGCTTAAATGATGCAGTTGAGAATACCGTTATTTTTGTCGCCAGATTACACAGAAATTAAAATATTTTTATTCTACGATCATTTGTAATCTAGTTTTTGAGCGAAAATATTATAAAAATTAAAGTGAGTGCATTTTGTTAACCATGGGACGGCGCACATCAATTGAAAAGCGTGAGTTAGTGTTGGAGTACTTTAAAAAGGGAATTCCCCAGCGTAAAATTGGTGAAATGGTCAATATAAGCTCTTCAACAGTTCAACACATAATTGAACGCTTCGTACATGAAAATCGCATAGAAAATAAGGGACGAAAGGCTCCCAATAAAATTTTTACAGAAAAAGAATCGAGGTATTTGGTAAACCAAACTCGAAAAAATCCAACAATTAGCGCTCCAAAATTGACAGACATGGCCAAAATAGATTTTGGAAAAATTTGTTATCCTGAAAACGTCCGCAGAATATTGAGAGAATCAAATTTCAATGGAAGAATAGCTGTAAAGAAACCTTTCGTAAGTGCAAAAAATAGAATTAAAAGGTTGCAGTTTGCACGAGAGCATTTAAATAAGAGTCCAGCATTTTGGCGAAATGTACTTTTTGCAGACGAAGTCAAAATAAACTTATTTGGATCAGATGGAAGATCTTATGTATTGCGCGAAGTCAATTCTGAGCTCAAACCACAAAATTTACGTGCTACCGTAAAACACGGAGGTGGTAATGTTATGGTTTGGGCATGTATGTCATCAAATGGAGTAGGAAATTTGGTCTTCATCGAAGAATCTATGAATAAAAATATTTACTTAAAGCTTCTTCAAGAAAATTTGATTCAAAGTGCAACGAAATTGCAGATTGCAGATGATTTTCGCTTTTACCAAGACAACGACCCTAAGCACAAGTCAGCATTAGTACAAACGTGGTTGATATGGCAATGTCCACACATTGTCCAAACTCCTGCACAATCACCAGACGTGAACGTTATTGAAAATTTGTGGTCCGTTTTGAAGACAAATATCAGAAAACATGACATCCGCAACAATTTTGACTTAAGAAACGCTTTACAGCAAGAGTGAAGTAAAATTAGTCCAGATTATACCAAAAAACTGGTTGATTCCATGCCAAAAAGGCTTCATGCTGTTATTACTAATAAGGGATATCCAACAAAGTACTAAGTACTTAGAATTAGTCCGGAAGTTTGTAAAAATATTAATTTTTTTGATGTTGGATCATTTAAGCTGTGACATGAATTTTTCATTTGCTGTTGGTTTTTGATGCATTACTAAGGAATGGAAGAAGATTTTTGGGATTTTTTTTTTTAAAATGAATAAACACACTATAAACAATAACTCTGCATACTTTGTTTTTTTAATTTTGCAAAATATTTTGAAATAAACAACATTTTTCAAAAAATTTTTGCTTGCATCAAATAAGCTGTGAGCCACTGTATGTATATTAGGGTGTCCCAAAAAAATCAAATTCTTTTTTTTTCAACGCATACCCTGTAATTATGTTTGAATAGTGTCAAAACAATTGTAAATAAATTTTCATGTCATTTGAAATAAAGGAACCCGTGCCGACTTGTCGAAACATGTCAGAACTTGCATCCTTTAGCGCATCACAGCAAAGTTATTGCAGTGCTCGTTATTATTTGTTTGTTTTAGTAGTAAGCGCATTATATGTCAATAGGATTACGCAGTTTTAAAAAGGAAATATTTTTAATTGGGGATGTAAAACATCAAATCACTGGTTCAAAACTTCCCTCTAATGGACAAGTATTGGCAGTTCTGTTCTACAACATTCGTGAAGTGAATTTAAGTATTACTGAAAGCGCAAATCTTACTATTCGTGAGTGCATTATTTATTGGGAAAAGGCACGTATACCAACTAAAGCTATACCTAACTGTGTTAAGAAGTTAATTACATTATACCAAGTTTGGAGAGGTTTGCAGAAAAATGCGAACAAAACACAATACGTGTACGAGCAGCGTCGACAAGAGTTTATTACAAACTTAGACAATTTGTTTGACATTGCACATGCTGACGCGCTTAAATTAATAAAGATAAATGAAGATAAAATCTTCTTGCAGCGCCAGAGAGAGCCAGGTCGACCTGGTTACTTAGCTGGAG